AATTACTGCCACAATAACACTGAATAAGAATATCGATACTACATCATTGCAAGCCGTCATGGCATATATGAGCGTATGAATTCCATTATTAAGACCTAATCGTTCTTCTCTAAGCTTTAGCATTACCGTAATCACAACATTAGGCGAGACTGCAGTTATTACAAGACTGCAAAAATATTTAAATAAATTACATTATATAAATATAAACAATAATATCTTTATGAAAATTTCTTTACTTTTATAATAATTCACTTAATATAATTTTTATGAAATATTTGGAAAACATAACAATAATACTTACCCTAGTAATATACCCCACAACCATGGCATATCGAGTAAAAGTCTAGCCATTACTGAAATAACAGTTACTTCTGCAATAGTTGGCACTAAAGTCAAACGTAATATCATGAACCATAGTTTCTTGAAAGCATTGCCATCCAGACCAAGACCAGCTAATAACATAATATTTATCAAAGCACATTCTCTATGAATTAAAAATACTATTAACACACATATGTCAACTAATGTATTTATTATATTATCGATTGGTTTACCTTAAAATTGCTTCGAATTTCTGATAGCCACTAAAATCTGCTAAGCCAACATTTGTATAGACGACACCGAAAAAGAGCATACCAAGCATATCAGGTAGACGCAAAAACGTCACCAAGATGCCAGTTATTTGTGCTCCAACAAAAAGTAGAACTATACGCATTATAACAGATGAAGCTTTTGCATATTCAGGTAAATAAATATCAGCAATGGTCCAGAGAAGTACAAAAATACCTAATAAGGCTAGTGGTTGAGAACTAACTGGCCAATGTCTTACTAAGTATTGCCAACTGTTAGGAAGATATAAAAAAAATAATATGAAGAAAAGAAATTATGTATAATATATGTATAATATAATATCTTACATTATTAAATTTACTTTGTTTATTTTACCTATATATATTATTTATTATATCAATAACTTATATATCTATTATCTATAATTATTTATATATATATATATCTATGTTATCTATATAGATACAAAACAATAAAATTACTTTTTAAACATTATTATTAAAATATATATTTGTTAAAAATCTAGTGAACTGTACTCCTGGATTGCTTCAGTCCAGGTAATATTTTGTCACTTTTTATAGGTAGGACATATGAAAACCAGATTACAGTCTTCACAAACACAAATGACAACTCATACAGCTTCATACTTTTTGTTTGTCTAAAAGTGAGCATATTTTAAGAGATTGTTTGACAGTGAATGAATTATATATGTTGAGGTTTTTCCGAATTAGTGCAACTGGGAACTTTTACTCTTTCGAAGCTGAGGACTTTCTATAAAGCCCCTCTCTTCAGTTTGACCAATTTATGTGTTTCTCACAAGCTTCGCTGGTTATTCTATTCTATGACTGATCTAAGTTGTGCATATCAGCGCGTACGGCAAGTGACTGCTCTGAGATTAGGTAGTGCTATGTAGGGCAGTATGTCACTTTTTGCATTTAGTCTTAGGGCTTTGTCCCTTATATATTTCTTGACCGGGAGCTTTCTGAAATCTCTTGCATTGCGGTAGGAAGTATTTGTACAATATTTAGATATTTATATTACATTTTATAAATTAAACGAAACAATAGTTATTTCTAATGATCAGTCTTTAACTGTTATTATGGTTAATTTAATGGACGGAGTTAAGGAATTTAAAGGTGTGGAACTTCTTACGCTCTTGATTGCATTGGAGTGGTTGTTACTCATATTCAGTCATTTATTTTACACCGAATAATTTCTCTGAGTGTTGTTATTCAATACTATATATACAAGTAAGCATGACTTATTGATTTACTTACCTACTGACTTATTAATTATATCCCTTTAATTAATTCTCTTCATTAGAAATTTTTTTGACTTTTCAAATACAACAAACCAACAGTTGTGCTTCAATCTGTGAATTTATTGGTCATGACTATAACTTGACGACACATTTCATATATATGAAATGTATGTTAGATAACTAATTACCACTCCTATTATTTTTAGACAATTTAAATAATCTAAACTAAAATTTTCTCTTTCACACAATCTTTAATTTTTAATACGACTAATTTCGATAATTGTATTAATTGAGCAACGTTATGACAACATCAGTTAATTTTTTATTAATTTAATTTCTTTAAATGGTTTCAGGACGTTAAGGTAATTAAGTAAAGGAGTAAGGCGGCATTACAGAAAATTTAATGCTTAACTTCATATATTTTTTTTGAATATAACTACGCATTATAAAAGCTTTTAAATATTATAAATTTTTTTTAAAATAATTTTTATTACAAATATATTTTATATTGATAAAATAATATTTTAAGATACGAGTATAATATATTTATATGTGACCATAAGTATGACATTAATATTTTCTGTACAGAGTACCTAATTTATTTGAATTTATGCCTACGCTTTTGACAACACAATTAACAGTGTTAACTCGTATACATTAAGAAATGCTGTTAGGAAAAATTTTTCATTAATTGTTTGTTTTTCTTTATGTAACAAATCTGAGATATTTTCTATAATCAGTATAATATTATTTAAATATATTTTAAAAATATCTCAAGAATATTTGAACACAAATTAATTATATTTTTAAAATTTAAAACTTACAAGCAATAATTATTTAGCAGATAACCAAGCTCCTACCACTTCGGACATCAATTGTACAATCCCTAAAAGAGTCTCCCACATAAATCTAGAATTATTAGGGCTTTTAGCAAATTTTAGAACGCCTTTTGGTTCAACGTTCCAGCCTACACTTCGTTCACTAAAGCTTTTTTTGACAAATCAAACAATATCTCTTGATTAAATGAGCAGGGCATGTACTGACCTCATTTGGCTTAGTTAAAGCTGAAAGGAGGTACTGAAATCGTTTCCTAGCAATTGCTAGATGCCAGCAGCTATAATGGCTGGTAGGTAGTTTACACTTCATAGTAAAAAGTTCTCTACTTACGTTTTTACAAAGTGCAAAGCAGTTATTCATTGATAAATTATAATGATTTCAGATGATATTTAATCTGTGTTATCTACTACCACATGTTAGATTTTAATATATATATCAGATATGATTTTAGAAGGCAGATTTTATTTTTGCTTACAATATATGCACCCTTTTAGTAACAAGTAAAGAAAAATAAAGAAAAAATCTACAATACGACTATGTCACCAAACTTAGCAACACAGTATCGCATTTGTATAAAAGTATTATTAGTAGTCATACTACTTGGCTGTTCCAACAGTATTATTTATACACTTTTTCACTTTATATTCTTTATATGAAATTTTACTATAGAAATAAAAATGTCACTCCTCACTTTTATCGAAAAAGTACTGTAGCGCACTGAAATGATTTTAACAAATTATTGTTAAAAAACAGTTATACCCCAACCAATCTATATGTCATTAAAGCACATGTCTAGTTAATTCACACAAGGTTCACTTCCTATAAATATGAGATTTAAAACCTTTAGTAAAACGCATACGCACTTTGACCTCCAAAATGACTACAGTTGATAATATATCTTCAGCACGTACTCTCATCACAATATTAAAGGTAACTGGCTTTTGGCACTGGCATAAACCGGAAGAGAAAAGTGGATCCATAACAACGTTAGAACTATGCTATCGCTTTATAGTACATTTGCCTTTAACTTTTGTATTCATTTCATTAATGTGGACGGAAGTCTTAACATCGAAGAGTTTAGAGGAAGCTGGGAATGTGATGTATATAACAATGACCGAGACTGGATTATTATGTAAAATTTTTAATATATGGCTTATGGGTAAGGAGGCGTGGTCGTTTATTGATGAACTCAAAAAGAATAAGCAACTTCAAATGCGTACGGATAGTGAATGTAAACTATGGCTTGAAGAACATAGAAAATTTAAAAGAGTGGCTTTCTCTTATATTATTGGCAGTTTAGTAGTAGCTTACATAGCCTTTATAAGTGTACTTTTCTTAAGTAAATATGAATTAGCCTATGGCTACTATGTACCATTTGAATGGAAGAATCCTACAAAATACTGGTATGCCTACTTTTTCGATATGATAGCGATGTCCCTAAATTGTCTCTCCAATATCACACTCGACATGACTTACTGCTACTTTATGTTTCACATTGGCGCACTCTACAAGCTGATATCATTTCGTTTGGCTGCATTGGAACAGATGAAGGAGGTGGATGTAATTAGGGAATTGAAAAGTATATTTCGTCTACATAAACATACAAAACGGTGAGTTTTAAATTAAAACAAAATAAAATATTATTCTTACTTAGTAATATGTGATTTATATTTAACATAATATTCTTTTATTTAAGTTTAACACTGGAGTGTCAACGGCTTGTGTCCGCCCCTGTACTTGCACAGATTATGTTAAGTGCTCTGACTTTATGTTTTAGTGGTTATCGTCTTATACATGTGAGTATCTCAATTCGGATTAAAATTTTTATAAAGTAAACTTATTAACTCTTTTAGCTAAATATAATCAAGGATTTGAGTCAAGTATTTAGCATGTTTAATTTTTTAGGAGTTATGGCTTTTCAGATATTTCTTTTCTGCTATTACGCTAATGAGATTACTATTAACGCCAATCACTTGACTTGGAGTGCCTATAATACAAATTGGCTGCACTATTCGAAATCAACGAAGAACTTGGTTTTTATTTATATGGAGTTCTTGAAACAACCAGTGACTATTAAAGTGGCTAATCTCTTTGATGTTGGTTTGCCTATATTTAGCAGAGTAAGTTTATATTTGACTGTGTTTATGGTTAACAACAATTCTTTTCTTATTTCAGACCATGAATAATGCTTACAGCTTGTTTGCAGTTCTAATCAAGATGAGCAATTAAAATTAATTGGTTGAGCACAGTCACCCAGGCATTTAAATTGGAACGTACTATAAATCACATATAATCTATCTAATTATCTAACTATTTAATTAATTAATAATTATCTGATTAATTTTAATTACACGTTTCGCGTATGGCTCACATAGAAAAGTGATCCACCTATCATTCATTTGTCAACTTATCTATCTGGAGTCTCAGGAAGTTTCCCTTAAAAGTTTTATTTATTTACTCCTATTACTAATTCAGTGAATGCTTGATATATAGCTAAAAATACAAATTAACAGACAGAAATTCGGACGCACGAACATGGTTAGATTGATTTGTTTTGTCAAGCTAATCAGAACCTATGTAAATTATAAAAGCCTCTTAATTTTTTCATAAACTCAGCACTCAAAAATATGAAGAAAAATAAAAATTGGATTGATAAAATAAATAAAAATAAATCTATCACTACTTAACAACCACATACTGGACCATACGACGGCATTTAGCTAGAGTCAGCCTACCCTGTGGTATCTTCTGTAATGCGTATCTACCAGCTCTCGAGAAAGGACACCAGAACACCTGATGTGTCTATGTCCAGTTTTGGCGAGAATACCGCTTAAGTCTCTTGGGGCCCCCTTTTTTAACACACTTGGCGATATCTCTAGCATTAGCATTGGCCAGATTCTTGCCTTTATGAATACCTCTAGCTGGTTCTAGCTTGATCTTTTCTATACTACCCATTATCACGAGATTTTATGGATTCAAAACGGCTTTTTTAGCTAATTGAGGAGAACTTGTTCCTCCCTCCACCACAACAAACTAACAACTACAAAGCAATCAAAGTGAATTTAAATAGGTGCAGGAACACCGAAGACAAAAATGTGCTATTTGCTGAAAAGTTCGTTACCTAAAAATGCGTAGAATTTATTAATATTATATTAAACTATATATTAAACTAGTCTCATATTATGTTTCACAAATGACTTTTTTCCGTCGATAGTAGAAGATTTCTCTTTCATCAAAGTACATTCGTAAAGTAAAGTATCACAAATGCAAGGTCATTGTACTTCACTTAAAAGTCTTTGTATATTAAATCAAAATTAAATTTTATATATAAACTCATTTAAGTTTTTATCATAAAACTGAAATCAAAAAATGCTTTATTACCATTCACAGTTCTCCATATTCCGTTTGCTTTTAAAAGGGAAGATCATAATTCAATATTTCTTCCGACCATCAAAATCAATTTTTTCACTTCGTGTAGTCTAACATTTGGAGACCAGATATATTTTTATTTCACGTTGGTGGATGTTTGTGATATTTTCAGGCAGCATATCACAAATATAGGAACTAATTCTTTCATAAGGTTTATTGTTCCACCACAAATGAAGAAACCTGCCTTTCGAAAACGACTCCGTAAAGCTCCCAAAACAAGTCTTCGAAGCAACATATTTGTCTTATTTTAATTAAAATTTTTTTGTGACATATAAGAATCCGTTTTTAAAATTTGAAGGAATGCAACTGTGACTAAAATTTAATATATTTTATAAAAGTGATAAACAGGTTAATAGCTAGCTTTGGCTACAGTAGAGCCAATATAATAAATTTCATTAATAGTTCTGCAAGATTTATAAACACTTTAAACGATTGATTTTTATATATTACAAAGTGTACTCAATGCTCAATGATGATTTTATATCAAATCTTATTTTTATTATTATTTTTATTATTGTTCTTATTAATTAAATAATAAATAATAAATAATAAATGTAATAATGTCGAATCAACAGCCAAACTGATAGTTAAGCAGATTTTTCTTGTTGAATGCAGTAATAATATATGTATTCGTATTATGTAGTACACCGTTCATCTTTTATATTTAGTTTTATTTTAAACATATGATATTGCATTCCGCCCTTACGATTTACTTTAGGAACTTTGAGTCCCTAAATCCTATCCCTTTAGTATCTAGTACCATTTATACGATTCTTCGCTGTTTCAGATAATCATCAGAAATAATAATCATCATTTCTGGGTATCCATCTCCATTTATTCCGTTTACACATTCGTCCAGAGCCGGTGTCCTCCTTTACTTTGTAGTACCAGTAAACTCCATCGAAGGGGATAACCAATTTCATTTGGTCATGATTATTGTTTTTCATAGTATAGACTAACTTATTTTTTTTTTCTTTTACATTATTAAGAAAATATTGATTTTTCCAAAACGCACTAAAGATTCTGGGCCCCGTCCGCTCCGCTTTTTGCAAGTACAAGTCTCATCTCTCGTATATCTCGATCTCGAAATGTTATAGAATCCATAATATTCGTATTAAATGATTTAATAGCTGCATTTTTATTTTTTCTAAGTACTACACCACCAATTTTAATTTTATTTGATGAAATTTGAGTGCCTTAATTACTGTCTGGCAGTATACTCAGATACCTGCATAGCTGGAATAATTAGTATACTTGGGATAACCTATCAAGATACCCGCTTTTGGGATAGGTATAGAAAATTTTCTTCGTGAAAGGCAACTAAAATATATAATTTACCATCTTGCATTGTCTTAAAGTATAACTGGTGAGTGTAACAAGTGAGTTTTCAATTGCGACATCCTCAACAGAGGCAAAATCTTGCACTATAGGATCCAGACCCCTAAAACTTAGGTTGCTCTGGATATTGTATTAAGTCCAGACGGACGTGTCGTGTAAGCTGCTGACTACAGCTGACTATAGTAATGCAGAAGGACTGTTAGCATTTCACTTGAAGTGAGGTTGCTGTTTTTCAACAAGGTGCTGTGATCTAAAGAACAGGAAAAGGTTACAAAGAACTCACTTTTCAACAAAAAAAAAGTAATATCGAAACACATCACTTCAATTAGTCTTGCAAAACTACTATCACTAAGAATTTTATCGACTCATTATCTTGTTCTCAAGTCTAGAACTATAACATATGTTAAATACCATACTTTAAACATTTATTGTAATTCACTTTGTTCAGTTCATCATAAAAGAATAGGTAAGGTAATGACTAATGTAGTGTTATTTATTGAGGTATAAAATTAAAAATGCTGCTGCATCTGCTTTCCTGTATGAAATAAAAATAGTACTCCTCCCATTCTTTACCTGATTTCTTTTACTCATATAACTGGTTTCTTTATGAAGGCTAAGGTGAAGATACCTTAAAATGTGGCACCCGGTTTAATTATCAATATGGTATACTGAAGCAGCTTTATTATGACGATCAGATAGCTTATTGGCAGTAAATAAGCACAGTCCTATTTAGTTATATTGAATTTAGTTCACTTTATTCGCAATTATATGGTTAAAAACAATAGACTACTATATCATAGATCAAATATGACATACCTATGCCTATGATTGTTCTTAATTAATAGAAAAGGTTTGCAGCCATTTTAAGAGTTGCACCCATGAAATTTAGTTAATAAATTAAAGTAAATATAATATATATCTGACACTAAGAGTTTATTTTAAAGAACAGTAGGTATATATATAGAAAAAATTAGCGATTAGTTTTTGAAGGTTATGTATATATATATATGTATTATTTGTATAACTACAAATTTAAGTAAAGTGCAAACTTTTAAAGACTTCAAACTAACTATATCATTTTAGTTGATTATTTATTGTTATTTAGTTGATTTATTGATTGTAACTTAATTAAGCTGTAATTTTGCAAAATAGCCTTCATCTAACAGAAATGCTTGGCTACTTTCTCTCAAATTAACAATATTACGTTCTTTGCAATTTGCTTAAGTAGGCAAATTAGCTGCATAATTAATTGGTAATAAATACTGTGCCCTATAATAATTTAGCAAACCAGAAAATTTTATAAAAGCCTCTAAAATTTATTTCTAAATTCAGTCTAATTTAACCACACACAAATTCGGCTAAGATGGAATTGACACCAGCGCGTATACTTATTGAAATACTAAAACGAGTTGGGATTTATCCTTGGCAACCAGTACATGAATCGACCTTTAAAGGATATACGAGAAAGGAACT